CAGATAAAATTACCCATTTGATCTAGAGCGAACCCCCATGATCTGGAAGGCTCCAGAGAAAACTACCCAGGCAATCTAGAGCGAACCCCCATGATCTGGAACGCTCCAGAGAAAACTACCCAGGCGATCTAGAGCGAACCCCCATGATCTGGAACGCTCCAGAGGGAGAGCGCGCCCTACGCCGCAAAACCGATCTAGATCGAACCCCCATGATCTGGAACGCTCCAGATAAAATTACCCATTTGATCTAGAGCGAACCCCCATGATCTGGAAGGCTCCAGAGAAAACTACCCAGGCAATCTAGAGCGAACCCCCATGATCTGGAACGCTCCAGAGGGAGCGCGCCCGACGCCGCAAAACCGACCTATAGATCGAAGCCCCATGATCTGGAACGCTCCAGAGAAAACTACCCAGGCGATCTAGAGCGAACCCGGATTTTAGGGTGAAAGGATTTAAGGGTTACTGGGTTAGGGTTACTGGATTTAGGGTTGGGGGATCTGAGGGCCAAAGGATTTCAGGGTTAAAGGATTTTAGGGTTAAAGAATTGCAAGATTAAAGGGTTTTAGGGTTAAGGGAGCGTAGGGTTAAAGGATTTTAGGGTGAAAGGATGTTAGTGTTAAAGGATTTTGGGTTTAGGTATTTTAGGGTTAGGTGGTTTTAGGGTTACGGGATTTTAGGGTGAAAGGATTTAGGGGTTAGGGGATTTAGGGTTAAAGGATATTGGTGTTAGAGGAGTCTAGAGTTAAAGGGTGTTTTAGGGTTAAAGGAATTTAGGGTTACAGGATGTTTGTGTTAAAAGAGTCTAGCGTTAAAAACGAAGAGGGTTACAGGATGTTTAGGGGTAAAGGGTTTTAGGGTTAAAGGATGTTAGCGTTAAAGGATGAAAGTGTTAAAGGAGAGGAGGGTTGAAGGATTTAGGGTTAAGGGATTTTAGGGTTACAGGAAGATAGCGTTAAAGGAGTTTAGGGTCAGAGGAATTTAGGGTTGAAAGGAATTTAGGGTTCAAGGATTTTAGGGTTCAAGGATTTTAGGGTTACAGGATGTTTAGGGTTAAGGGATTTTAGGGTTAAAGGATTTTAGGGTTAAAGGGTTTTAGGGTTAAGAGATTTTAGGGTTAAAGGATTTTGGGTTGAGGTATTTTAGTGTTAAAGGATTTTAGGGTTAGGATTTTAGGGTGAAAGGAATTAGGGTTAAGGGATTTTAGGGTAAAAGGATTTTAAGGTTAAAGGGTTTAGGGTTAAGGGATTTTAGGGTTAAAGGATTTTAGGGTCAAGGGATTTTAGGGTTAAGGGATTTTAGGGTTAAAGGGTTTTAGGGTTAAAAGATTTAGGGTTAAGAGATTTTAGGGTTAAAGGATTTTGGGTTGAGGTATTTTAGTGTTAAAGGATTTTAGGGTTAGGATTTTAGGGTGAAAGGAATTAGGGTTAAGGGATTTTAGGGTTAAAGGATTTTAAGGTTAAAGGGTTTAGGGTTAAGGGATTTTAGGGTTAAAGGATTTTAGGGTCAAGGGATTTTAGGGTTAAGGGATTTTAGGGTTAAAGGGTTAAGGGATTTTACGGTTAAGGGATTTTAGGGTTAAAGGGTTTAGGGTTAAGGCATTTTGGGGTTAAAGGATGATGCGAAAAATGGCGGGTTATAGGACCTGATTGATAGCAATATCGATGAGAGGAAGAAGAAGCATAGAACAAGAGCAGGAAAATGAACAAAAACAAAGAAAGCACCAAGAAATAACACGCTTATAAAGAACCTGTGTTGGCGCACAAGTGCCGCCAGGCCTAAAAGTTTAGGGTTTAGGGTGTCCTTTCTGTTGTCGCTCGCGCCCTTTCACGGGGGGGCTTCCAAGCTGCATTCACGCCCCCCCTCTCGATTGGCGCTCACTCGCGTTGCTGTGTTATCCCGCCCGCCCAGCCCGGACTATTCTCTTTTAGGGTTTAGGGTTCCATTCAAGGTGGCACCCTGTGGCGGGCAGACAAAGCACGCAGATAGACGAAGAGGCAAACAGAACAGCAGCAGAGCAGGAGAAAAGCAGAAGAACAGGAGAAGAACCGCAGAGGGACAGAAGAGGGACAACAGAAGGAGCAACGGAAGGAGCAACGGAAGGAGCAACAGAAGAAGCAACAGAAGGAACTAGGGAAAGCAGAGGGCAACACGGGAGCGCAGAAGGCGCAGGGGAGCAATAGACAAAAAGGCAGGGCGCAACAGAAGAACAATAGAAAAAAGAGCAGGCAGCAGAGAGAAAGCAGAGAGCAGCAGAGAGCAGCAGAGGGCAACAGGTGGAGAGCAGAGAAACAACATATAACCACAGGAAGAACTGAAAGACGGCGAAAGGCCGGTAGGTAGAGCGGCAAAGAGACCTGACTGAAGCCGCCGTCGGACCGGCAGAAGCAGCGGAGGAAGGGTATCCCTACAGGGGAAGGACACCTCCTTAAAAAAGGTCGGAAGGCGCCGGCCTGGGTACCTCCGGGGTGGTGTGGAAACCCCAGGACCGGCGCGCGAACAATAAGAATGCAAAGGTAGATATGGGAAAGAAATAGAAAATACAAATGGCTGGGCGCCATTGCGTTTTTGCTGATTGTGTTTGAAACATGGAAAATGGCAGAAAGAACAACCGCAAGAACGACGGAAAGGACAAGAGAAAGGGGAAGCGAAAGGAAAGAAAGGACAACGTCAAGGATAGCAAGGAAAGCAGACAGAAAGCAGACAGGAACCACAGGGAGAACTGAAAGACGGCGAAAGGCCGGTAAAGCGGCAAAGAGACCTGACTGAAGCCGCCGTCGTACCGGCAGAAGCAGCGGAGGAAGGGTATCCCTACAGGGGAAGGACACCTCCTTTAAAAAAGTCGGAAGGCGCCGGCCTGGATACCTCCGGGGTGGTGTGGAAATCCCAGGACCGGCGCGCGAACAATAAGAATGCAATGTCCGACCTGGTGCTCGCCCTTGCCGGCGGTCAGCGCCGAAACCGTTTCGAAACGTCCCGTTTGCACAAAAAACTAATCTATTAAGAGTCATTCGCGGGCCCCGCGGCGTGCTGATCCGAGCACGTCGGACCACGAGAGGTCAGGCGTTACATGGGTGGCTCGGTAGGCCCGTATGCTGGACCAATCTCTCCTCCGGTCTGCACGGGATATAGTGCACGCTCCGCAAGGCCCGTGCTAATAGTAATTGTAGCGTCCTCCAGGTGGCCTGTACGGAAGCTTAGCCAAGGCATGCACAAAGATGCGCAGACGCAGAAATGGCACGATGGGTCGGTACATAGATTGTGTGACGGGCCTGCAGATTGAGCGGCTTGATTAGCACTCCGGTAAATCGGAAGATGAAAAGGAGATAGATGCGTAGATAGTCTGACGAGCTAAATATTGCAGGAATGTAGCCCCAGCATCCTCTGCATTCTGCAGCATCTCCTGCGCAAGCGACCGACATCCAGGGCCCTTGCAGATTTATGCGGCATCTTTCAACATGGCGGCGCACGTAATGCATACGTGTGTGCGTGTGTGTGCGTGCTTGTGTGCCTGCATGCGTGGCCATTGACAAGCAGCTTGGGTCCATATCAGCACACAACTTCACAGGTTCTAAGCCTTGGCAGCTATGAATCAATGGTCCCACAGGCAGACAGGCAGGCAGACAGACAGACAGACAGAAAAAGCTAGACGAAGACAGCAAGGCACACAGGCAAACAGGTAGGCAGCCACACAGGCAGACAGACACACAAGGCAAGCACAAAAGGGACCGAAAACGAAGACCGGAAAGGACCGGAAAACGCAAGGACCGGAAACGACCGGAAGACGGACCGGAAGAGGACCAGAAACAAAAGCCCGGAAAGGACCGGAATCGCTTTCCGGACCCGGGCCCGGAAGACCGGAACAGGACCGGAAGAGGCAAAACAGCAGGACCGGAAGAGGACCGGAACAATTATATTTAGTATTGATCGACCTGGTGCTCGCCCTTGCCGGCGGTCAGCGCCGAAACCGTTTCGAACCGTCCCCGTTTTCACAAGAACCTAGTCTAGTAAGAGTCATTCGCGGGCCCCGCGGCGTGCTGATCCGAGCACGTCGGTCCAAGAGAGGTCAGGCGTTACATGGGTGGCTCGATAGGCCCGTATGCTGGACCGATCTCTCCTCCGGTCTGCACGGGATATAGTGCACGCTCTGCAAGGCCCGTGCTAATAGAAAGTTATGTCCTCCCCTTGGCCCGGAGCTCAAAGTAGACAGTCATGCTTCCAGCCTAAGCCGCCAGGTACCAGTGCAGCAGCGACTTCCAACATCCAAACCTCAAAGACATGGATTCAGAACGAGCCTTTGCCTTAGAGATCCGCGTCGCTTCACACAGTCCCTTCCTGTCAACAAATTATTGAGGAGATATAGGAAAGCCGGAGGGATGTCAAAGGGTGGAAAGAGAAGAAAGATAAAAAAAAAGCCGTGGCGATGTATGTAGTATGAAAAAGCATTAAGGGCAAAAACCGGCTTTCGGGATTTCCACCGTGCGTGTTGTATTTTACTGTTATGGCAGTCTTGTAAAGGGATCCGAGTGCAAGGAGACGGGTATAACCGGGAGTAGGAGTCACATGCTTGGAAGGGGCGGGTCGGCCCTGCGCAAGCAGTCCGTTCAACATGGCTGCTGAGGTATTGCAAGCATTGCGTCTTCTGCTGCTCATCTGCTTGACAGCACCTCAAACGGTCACGTAAGAAAGCAGGCGCTGCCTGTCACATTGATGGCATGAAATGCGAACTTTGTTTCACTTCGTTCAATTGTTTGACTTCTTTGGCTTGTTTCACTTGTTTCGCTCGCCGTTTGCAGTACCCACATCAGACTTGGACATAGCCGTCCAAAAGGAGCTGTAGCAGCAACACCCAAAAAAAAACGCTGTGCACATAGAGTTCTTTCATTCTTATATATACTTGCTTGATCAAGTGTGTCTTCGGACATCCGTGTTGCAACTCCAGCTTTTCAATCAGTCACTTCGTGATTCGAGCCTGTGTAACTCGCGTACCTCTTTGTGTTGCCATGGCGCCAAAGGCGACAGGCGGTGCAGGACAGAAGACCGCCCAGGACTATGTGACAGGACTGTGGCAGCAAGGGGTGGATGAGGCGTCCGTGCGCCAGCAACTCCGTGAAGATGGCTACAAGGCAGGAAAGATTTCGCAATTGATCAAAGCAACGCGGCCCGCGCAAGAACAGGAGAGTCGCGCTGCAGCAGCCCCAAAGGGCATGGCGAGGCTGGCAGGGAAGTCAAGATCTTCAAGCTCCGCATTGAGTCGGGAGGTCGGGTAGCGGAGAGCGGGGCGGTATGTGTGGGGTGGACACGGCAGAACACGATAAGGGAAAGCGCACCTGTTTCCCAAGGTCCCTAAAAGGCAACCTCGTTTTGCAAACGCCTCCATTTTTTCTGACTGACAGGCAGCGCCTGCCTCTCCACGGCCTGAGCTGGAAGACACGGGCGATCAAGCAGAGGTAGAGGTGGAAATGCCCGACGCCGAGCCAAATCGCGAAGATCGACGCCAGGCGCGCGCGAAAAAAGTAGATGCGTAGATAGTCTGACGAGCTATATCTTGCAGGAATGTAGCCCCAGCATCCTCTGCATTCTGCAGCATCTCCTGCGCAAGCGACCGACATCCAGGGCCCTTGCAGATTTATGCGGCATCTTTCAACATGGCGGCGCACGTAATGCATACGTGTGTGCGTGTGTGTGCGTGCTTGTGTGCCTGCATGCGTGGCCATTGACAAGCAGCTTGGGTCCATATCAGCACACAACTTCACAGGTTCTAAGCCTTGGCAGCTATGAATCAATGGTCCCACAGGCAGACAGGCAGGCAGACAGACAGACAGAAAAAGCTAGACGAAGACAGCAAGGCACACAGGCAAACAGGTAGGCAGCCACACAGGCAGACAGACACACAAGGCAAGCACAAAAGGGACCGAAAACGAAGACCGGAAAGGACCGGAAAATGCAAGGACCGGAAACGACCGGAAGACGGACCGGAAGAGGACCGGAAACAAAAGCCCGGAAAGGACCGGAATCGCTTTCCGGACCCGGGCCCGGAAGACCGGAACAGGACCGGAAGAGGCAAAACAGCAGGACCGGAAGAGGACCGGAACAATTATATTTAGTATTGATCGACCTGGTGCTCGCCCTTGTCGGCGGTCAGCGCCGAAACCGTTTCGAACCGTCCCCGTTTTCACAAGAACCTAGTCTAGTAAGAGTCATTCGCGGGCCCCGCGGCGTGCTGATCCGAGCACGTCGGTCCAAGAGAGGTCAGGCGTTACATGGGTGGCTCGATAGGCCCGTATGCTGGACCAATCTCTCCTCCGGTCTGCACGGGATATAGCGCACGCTCTGCAAGGCCCGTGCTAATAGAAAGTTATGTCCTCCCCTTGGCCCGGAGCTCAAAGTAGACAGTCATGTTTCCAGCCTAAGCCGCCAGGTACCAGTGCAGCAGCGACTTCCAACGTCCAAACCTCAAAGACATGGATTCAGAACGAGCCTTTGCCTTAGAGATCCGCGTCGCTTCACACAGTCCCTTCCTGTCAACAAATTATTGCGGAGATATAGGAAAGCCGGAGGGATGTCAAAGGGTGGAAAGAGAAGAAAGATAAAAAAAAGCCGTGGCGATGTATGTAGTATGAAAAAGCATCAAGGGCAAAAACCGGCTTTCGGGATTTCCACCGTGCGTGTTGTATTTTACTGTTATGGCAGTCTTGTAAAGGGATCCGAGTGCAAGGAGACGGGTATAACCGGGAGTAGGAGTCACATGCTTGGAAGGGGCGGGTCGGCCCTGCGCAAGCAGTCCGTTCAACATGGCTGCTGAGGTATTGCAAGCATTGCGTCTTCTGCTGCTCATCTGCTTGACAGCACCTCAAACGGTCACGGAAGAAAGCAGGCGCTGCCTGTCACATTGATGGCATGAAATGCGAACTTTGTTTCACTTCGTTCAATTGTTTGACTTCTTTGGCTTGTTTCACTTGTTTCGCTCGCCGTTTGCAGTACCCACATCAGACTTGGACATAGCCGTCCAAAAGGAGCTGTAGCAGCAACACCCAAAAAAAAACGCTGTGCACATAGAGTTCTTTCATTCTTATATATACTTGCTTGATCAAGTGTGTCTTCGGACATCCGTGTTGCAACTCCAGCTTTTCAATCAGTCACTTCGTGATTCGAGCCTGTGTAACTCGCGTACCTCTTTGCGTTGCCATGGCGCCAAAGGCGACAGGCGGTGCAGGACAGAAGACCGCCCAGGACTATGTGACAGGACTGTGGCAGCAAGGGGTGGATGAGGCGTCCGTGCGCCAGCAACTCCGTGAAGATGGCTACAAGGCAGGAAGGATTTCGCAATTGATCAAAGCAACGCGGCCCGCGCAAGAACAGGAGAGTCGAGCTGCAGCAGCCCCAAAGAGCATGGCGAGGCTGGCAGGGAAGTCAAGATCTTCAAGCTCCGCATTGAGTCGGGAGGTCGGGTAGCGGAGAGCGGGGCGGTATGTGTGGGGTGGACACGGCAGAACACGATAAGGGAAAGCGCACCTGTTTCCCAAGGTCCCTAAAAGGCAACCTCGTTTTGCAAACGCCTCCATCTTTTCTGACTGACAGGCAGCGCCTGCATCTCCACGGCCTGAGCTGGAAGACACGGGCAATCAAGCAGAGGTAGAGGTGGAAATGCCCAACGCCGAGCCAAATCGCGAAGATCGACGCCAGGCGCGCGCGAAAAAAGCAGAAATCTGTTAGAAGAGCTGATGCTATTTTATCACCACAGCGCCCTGCAAGGTACAAAGCGCCGGCGCAGAGCCAGATGCAAAGGGATGGGACGCCGCTGCAGCAATTATGGATGTGGACAGCGGCGGCACCCCCGCTGCGTGGGAAGAGCGCGAGACTGTTGAATCGGAGGCGTCCCTGGAAGAAGCGGAAGGCATGGAGGACGTGCTGAGTGAACTTGCAAGCACTGCGGGCGATGATATCAGCGACGAAGAAACAGAGCAGGACGTTGCAACAATGAGCCATGCAGAGCAAGATATCGGTGAAGTTTATGGCTTGATGAGCTCCATGCGCGATGTTGCTGATGATACCAGCATGTGCACCGACGATGGAGAAGACACAGTAGAAGGCGAAGAATTCGGGAAGCCCGAGGAGATTGCCATGGCAGTGGAGGTGCGAGGGGAATCCGACGAGGGCGCCGAAGACGAGGAGAGCCCAGCAGAAAGGGATCAACAAGAAGGCGCGGCAATGGCCATAGACGCGGGGGACGCGGAAGTCACGCGCGCGTCGAAGGACGAAGGCGACGAAGAATCTGAAGAGGCAACGGACGCGTCTTCAGAGGAGTCAACGGGAGAGGAGGAAGCCATGGAGCCAGCACAAAAGCGACACCGCTGCCAAGTAGACGGTGGAACCGCCGCGGATTTGCCAGAACCACAAGCCATGAAGCGCCCGGCCGCCAGAAGACCGTCGTCCAAAGAGCGGTGCCAAGGCTACAATGGGCAGGCATGTCGCTTCAACCGCGTCAACCCGGGCAACCCAGCAAGGATTCAACCAGCGCGGCAACAGACCCATTGCTTGCTCTGCGACCCCGTCCAGCTGCAAGCAGATAGCAAGAAAACGCGCAAGAATCCATTGACGGCAGCCTTGAAGCAATTCGTGGCGGAAGACGACGAAAAGGTCTTCAACGACGCAATTGCCCGTGTTCGGCAAATCCTGGGCGATGCTGCCGCGGCGGACTTCGAGAGCCGCGCCCGTGGTCGACGGCGCCTGCAGGTGCCCAAGGGGCCGCTGCCCAAGTGGGAGGAGGAACTGCGCCGCTGCAAGCCGAGCGGAGCACCTCTGACAGAGGAACGCCGCCAACAGCACGAGAAAGAGGTGCAGGCAGACCAGCGTATTGCCAGGCGGAAAATCTTCTATCCGGAAAGAATCAAGAACCGCCACAAGGTGACACCAGAGACTGAGGCTGAGGAGCGCCGGCGAGTCGCTCTGGCAGGCACCGTCGAGCAACTGGCGCCCAATGATGTCGAATTACCAGGACCTACAGACCCGACGCAAAAGATGATAGAGCGCTGGTGCAAGGAAGGGTCTTGGGCTATCTGCACCACATGCCACTCCATGAATATGAGGCCCCTGGAGCCCCAGGATACCCGAAATGTCCGCTCGCCCACCATACCCTCCTCCAAATGCAAAGCTTGCGCGAGCGGCGTCTACATTCCCCAGCTGCAAGACGTCCCTCCGAAGTTGCGCGGCCTTAATGACAAGGTTCTGCAAGCCTTACGGCCCTTGGACATAGATACCGGCACCTTCCAAATGGCAGAATATGGCTATAGGGTTCATACTTCAATAATATCGTTCGCCTGGGCTGCAGAAAGCGTGCACGCCAAGATTGCAGCACTCACGAAGAAACGGGATCGAAAGAAAGCTCGGGCCGCCCTTCGCCATTTGATAGAAGAAGCCCCAAGCAGCAACTATTACAGGACGTTTTACAAAGACCACACCGAGTTCCTCCAGACCCACGGCAAGGGCTTGCCAATCTCGAAGCGAAAACAACCTTTGCGATTCATGGAGTCCGAAGGTTTGGAATGTTGCTTGTGGCCCCACCTGTACTGGCGGGGCGACTTGTGTGAGACGGTTGTGCGGTTAGCGCACGAAGCCCGCCAGAAAAGGAAACGCAAGGCGGAAGATGATGACGGGTCGGACGATGAGGAGCTCAGCCCCGGGGCGCGGCAGGTGAAAGAGCGAGCCGGCCGCGTCAGAATGCACTTCCTCAGGAAGGTCCTGTCGCCCGTTGTCGGATATGGCTCGGACTACGAGCTCCTACACTTTGTCTACGATTTAAGTATGTGGACCACCATCGGAACCAAGAAAAACATCGCTTCGCAATACAACGCGCAGCTCCGGCTCGTGCTGAAAGGTTGCCCTTGGGCACCACAATACTGGCGTGTTCAGCATCAGACAGTCATCGACGTCCAACGCCAGTGCGGCAACGCAAGGCTGTTTCGTACCAGGGCGCCCTACGAACGCACCTTTCCTTACCACCGGTGGGTCATGGACGAGCAAGCAAAGCTGGGCAGGCGTAGAATGCATTTGTCGGGGCCCGAAACCCTCCACATGGCGCATGTCCTGCTGCAGCTCGACAAGGGATTCATCTGCGGAGACAAGTTCTCGCCAAGCAATCCCAGCAAAACATGGCAGAATCACGTGCTCGGATGCGCCGACGGCACCAGCCGCCCGACCGTGCAAGCCCGCGTGACCAGGCTGGGGTTTCAAGACGGAAAGCGCAAGCTCGCAACGCAAAAATACCACGGCCGCGGCACCACGCACTCCCACTCTCTGGACTTCCTGCAAAACGTTGAGGCCATCCACCTGCAAACCAAGATCTCAGCAAGCATCCCGTCGGCAGAGACAGAGCCATTCATGCACGGGCTGGTGACGGACTCGCAATGCGATCGCAAGGACTCCAAAATACCGGTCCGCGAAGAGCCGTCAATATGGGACCCCGAGGGGGATCAGCTCTTGCTTCACCACTCGGAAGATGACAAGCTTCAGAACGTGCGCGCGTACTTTAGAGACACGATGCCCATCACAAAGTGCCACGAAGATATCCAGCAAGGCGGAGGGCGCAGACATCGCCACTATGCTCACCTGCGCTACGTCGCCACATACGGCACCAAGTTCAGTAGCCCCTCGGCTCTTTAAGCGGCTAGGAAAGGGAGACCTATGCAGGGATTAGAAATGTAAAGAATAGATGTAATAATCGGACTGGACACCAGGCGACAATGAAAGTTCATCATTGCGATTCGGCTTCTTCCTCTGAAATCCAGATTCGGCCCGCCACCCGCAGAACATGCAACCGCAAAACTGATACCCGCATGCATGCTGCTCAGGCTCTATGGAGCAGGATTGGTTGAATGACGACGCCTCGGATTTCAGCGTGACCCGGCGAATCCTGTGCGGCAATCAGCCCTTGGAGCCCGAGATGTGGATGACCTTGGCGGCAAAGTTGCTTCCCCAATTCAACATGCGCGGGACCAGCACGGAGATAGCGGTGCCAGTGCCAAGCTGTGAGCAGAAGCCCAAGGTTTATACAGAATTATGAAGAATCTGATTGGAGACCCTACGGCATGAACCTGTTGGAGTTCCTCCGGAAGACCAACAGCGAAGGAGGCATTCTCCAACACATCAAACAGAAACACACCCGCCATCTTTGGAAAGAAGCCGCGGAAGCATTCAAAGGCGAAGAAGATCAGCAAGAGCTGCTGAAAGATTGGCAAGAAGCGTTCAAGGCTGCAAACCAGGAGAGAAAACGCCACCAGGAGAAGCCGTTGGAACTTTTCGACTTCTTGTTCGACAACGACGCCATACCCATGGTGACCTCCTTAGAACAATTTGCCATAGACTTCAAGCCACAAGGCGAAAAAGCGATTGCTGCTATGGTGAACAGCCGGTTGAACGACAAATTTTACGGACAGTGGCTTGTACTCAACGTCCCCTTCAGGCACCTGGAAGATTTCGAACGGGATGCCCCAGCCATTGCAGAAAAAGTGCCGGAGCGCTACAA